CGGTGCCTCCTCTTGACGAACCCCCTCGGGAGGTGGGAGGGCTAGGTCTGATCTCCAGGGGTTCCGCAAAGCCGGAGGAAGAGGAGGAAGAGGAAGAAGAGGAAGACGGGGAGGTATGTGCCTTGGGGAGCTCTGGGGGAAGTGGGGCTATCAGTGGAGGGGGCTCAGGGGGGTGGGGGTGGGAGACGGAGGTCAGGGTTAAAGCTCGGGGCTCCACTTTGGGAGAGATGATGCGGTGTTTCGTGCTGCTGCATTTGTGGGTAAGGCTCCCGGAACCTGGAGTGGAAGGGGTGGTGGAGATAGAAGGGATAAGACACTAGTTCTCCAGCTTTCTCTTTGAGGAAGCCTTCACGCATTTCCTGGGATTTCAGTAACTACCAGAGATGTCATACTGACTGTGGCCACTGGGAGGCAGTCTCCCCCTACTCCCACCCCAGCCCCCACACCGCCCCTGCCCCTCAATTAAATAGGACTGGGAGAACACTGCAGAGGAGGACTGCGGGCTTGAGGAAGTAGCTGAGAGAAATAGGCAAAGGCACAGCAGACGGACAAAGGAACAGATCCAGGGGGCACCAACTAAGAATAAAGCTAAGCCTGTGTAGAAGCAGTAATGCTGGCGTGCCTGGGAGTTGCTAAAGGAAGGAGGCAGATAAAGAGCCCAAGCTGCCAGGACTCAAGTAAAAGGATCTGGGCCACTGTGCACCCAGATGGGAAGGCCTCTGCTCATCTGGCCCATCTTTCTGGGACACGCAAAAGACATGCAAATTAGCATGCAAATCCCAGCAAGGCAGATATCCCCCTGGCAAGAGTAAGGGCAGTGTAGCTAGATGGGAGGAGAGCTCCAAGGTTGGGGTCACTAACCAAGGCCCCCACTGCAGAGACAGGCGTGGGTTCGGGGTGCGGGCTTGGTTGGGTGGGTGTCCAGGATCTGCTGCACCAGCTGCTCTACAGAGAACTCCTCTGTCCCGTTCCCACAGCTCCACTTGATGCCATGAACTAGAGGAGAGTTGGGGAGAAGTGCTGGGGGAACCCTACAAAATAGTCCTCAGGGAACTTTGATGGCTCCTCAAGCATCTGAGATGCCTTCTGGCCAGGTGAATAGAGGCCAGCAGCCTCTAGACAGCTCTGACCTGCAGCTCACAGCTGCCCTTCAGTCCTTCATATCCCAACACCTTAGATGGTACCTGGAACTCTGGTACCCACCCTCACCCCTAGGAAAGAACCCTCCTGGCTTGGGGGGAAATGGTCACCCCACAGATTCCTGGGTGTAGAACCCTGGCCCCTTGCGAGGCCCCTGTGCCCACGCTCCCCTTGGGGCACTGTCCTAGCCCTGCTGCCTTACACATGGGCTTCAGTTGTCCCAAAAGCTCCTCCCGGGACCACTTCAGCCACTCTCGGCGGTCGCTGCTGATGGAACAAAAGATGGGGCTGCAGCCCTTTCCACAATCCTCCAGGGCTGGGACGTTCAGGTAGTGCACAAGGACGATGTCAGGGTTCTGAGAGCACAAAGGTACACACAGAGCGCTATGGGGTCCTGACATCTGAGGGCTCGGCTTCCTGGTCCTCACTTTCCTCCTGGGCACTCCCAAACTCACCCCCAAGTTCTGGCTCTCTCCATCCCCAAACCCCTCTCTCTTCTTCCCAGGCTCCTTTTCCCACTCAGAAGTGGGTCATCCTTCTACTTTTTTTCAGGCCCCCCTCTCCCTCAAAGAACCAGGTAGTCTGGCTCCCTGAGCTCCTCCATCCTTACCTGGAGCAGCCAGTAGCAGCGCCGATGGAATGTGGGGACGATGGAAGAGTGAACGTAGCAGCCATAGAGACACTGCCAGGAGACAGGCTGGGGTGGGGGGAGGGCTAGTCTGCTCCCCAACTCTTCCTCTGTTCAGTCCCTTTGCAGGAATCCCAATCTTGCCACCGGTTCCTCTTTAACCCTAACCCACCCCCACCTATTCCCCACACCTTCAAATCCCAGCACCCCGAGTCACCCGGGGATGGAAAGAAGGGAGCAGTGGGGCCAGGGCCTCATGGTGAGGGCCAGATTTGAGCTATGGGACTACCTAGAAATCAGAGGGCAGGGCAAGAACACATTCGAGATGAGGAGCAATGATTTGAGGGAAGAGAAACCTGTGCTTAGAGGTTCAGTACTTGGACCCCTGCAGGAAATGCAAGAGAAGTGAGGGGCCAGGCATCGCTGTCCTCCAGGGGGAGGCATGGCCTAAGTCCTGGAGATCTGGGTCATGGAGGGAAATGGGAAGCGGAGGATGGGCTAAGCATCAGCTAGCGGATCCAAACAGAGTGGAAAGGGAAGAGTGATGGGGAGGGTGGCAGGTAGATGTTGTCACCAAGCCCTGGCAGGGCTGGAGCCCAGCTCAGGGCAGAGGAGGGGGCCCAGGGCAGGTGAGCTGGAGGCCTCGCTTACCTCCATGCCCTGGACCTTCAGCTTCATGTGGTCCTCTCGGGTGGTCTTCCCATCCTTCCGCTTCTTCCAGAGGTAACCATCCTTCCGGTATTTCACCTTCTTGCGGTTATAGAGGATAATGGAGCCATTCTGAGGCCTGAGGAGGGAAGGGCTGATCTCGAGTTCTGTGCACAGAACCCAGGATCCCTGCCATTTCCCAGCTTCACAAACTTTCTCACCTTGTCTTGGGGGCACAGGATAGCCACTCATCGTGCTTCTCAAAGGTGATCAAGTAGGATGCAATCTCCTGTAGGAGGAGGCACTCAGGTGGGTACCCCCTTCCCAGAGTCTCAGCCTGGCCTCTTAGCCGCCTCCTCAGTCTCTCTCTGCTCAGTGCTGGCAGCCTGTCAGGGATGCTGCCAGGTATCTGGACCGGCAAGACCCACTGCCCTCCTAAGAATCTTAGGTTCCATCCCAGACAAAAGTCTAATCTTCTCTCCTTCCCTCCCCCACTACTGGGGCCTTAATCTTGCAGTCAGGTCCAAGTTCTTTAACACCATCCTTCATGCTGCGTGTTATTTTACTCTCTCAAAATCTCATGTTTATGCCACTTCCTCACTCAAAAAACGTCAATGGTTTGATCTTGCCAGGAATTTCAGATGCCTCACTCTGAACCCACGGTTCTCCCAGGCCAGGGATCAAATCATCATTCTCATTATTTCCCCATATTGCACATACCATTCCTCCCAGACTAGTCCACTGACTCTCTGTGAACATGCCCTGAGCCGTCACCTCCTGAACGTTAGTGTCCTACAAGCCTGACGTGCCATGTGCACTTCTCTCTGAGTCTGGAGATCCTAGCCATCTTGTAGATCAAATCCCTCCCCAGGTCTCCAGGAAGCCCTGCTGAGCACCCTGGCCCTTCCTGCATTTACAACAATCAGACACACATGTGCTCTTCTCATCAAATAATCAAATCAATAATGATCCACCACAAGTACACACAAAGCACTGTGTGTGGGGAGGACAGAAGGCATGTCACACCAGGGCTGTGCCCTCCAGAAGGAGCCAGCATCAGTGGTGGTTAAGAGCAGGGATGCTGGAGTTAAACTCCACGATGTAAGTCAGTGTTCTCCTCTGTACTCGGGGATAATAACACCTGCTCTACAGTGTTGGAGGACTGGGTGAGATAATGCAGGTCAAGTGCTAGGCACAGCCCCTAGCTTATAATAAATACTTGCTAGGGGGAAGCTATTGTTTTTACCCAGGTGGATAGGCCAAGGAGAAGTGAGCTCCTACAAGATCCTGGTCTTTATGTCTTTCAAAGAGCCTGGAACAGTACCCTGCACTTGGGAGTATCGACAGACACAGGGAGGCCCCCATTCACGCTCCTCCAGCCCACCAGGCCCTGCTAGGCCCTAATCCCCCAGGCTCCCTGGAAAACCTCATTTGTATTCCACCGTAGCCGCTCTGGGGGCAGCAGTGGACAGCGAGGAAGACACTCCAGCAGCTTCTTGGGGAGAAAGATCTTCAGGTGGTGGCTGTTCTCTAGAGGGAATGAGAAGGGAGAGCTCAATGTGCTGCTCCGGACATCCCTGTGATAGCCCAGGGGAAGAGGGCCGAGCATTGGGGGAAAATGAAACGACAACAGGGAGAGCAGGCATCCAAGAATTAGAGGTCACCATGGTGCGGGGAGAAAAGAAGGCTGTGCCCCAACTGGGAACCTGGACTGTAAACTCACCAGCAACCTCGGTGGTGTCCTTGGTATTCATGGTGAGGGCTCCAGGGGGCAAGGTCACCCCCGGCCTGAGGGGCCGGGGGGAGGGGGAGTCTGTGCTGGGAAGGGAGAGAACAAGGTCATGGAAGAAGACCCACACTGATCCAGGATGAGGAGGATGAGGTGGGAGACAAGGTACAGAACTGGGTCGTGATGTCTGGGAAAGATGAGGTAGCAAGAAGGGGCTGGACTATGATGTCAGAGTACAGCCGGGGAATGGAGGAGAGGGAGAACCCAGACAGGGTGCCAGGAACCAACACTAGTGGGGAGACACGACAGAACAGAGTAATCAGGAAGAGAGGGCTGGGGTGGGGGAGGGGAGACGGCGGGCGGGGACGGGCGGTCCAGGGACCCTACAGCCTGAGCTCTTGCGAGGCTAGGGCTGCAGTGGGGTCAGGCTCTGAGGCTGGGACTCAGAGCATCCGGTTCTTGTTGGATGGTTTGACAAATGAGAGCCTGGGTGTTGGGGGGAGGGCAGGAGATCTAAGTCCGGGTGGAAAGCTAGGCCTTAGAAGACACACCCTGAGTTCCTTCTCTATTTGATTTTTCCAAAGGGAAGGACAGATCTGATAACTAATCTTTAACCTACACCCTCCCCTCCAGGTTGGTCAGGCAGGGTCTAGTAGAATCTGGGCTAGACACTCAGGACACAGCTGCCCACCCTCAGGGCAACCCATCCTCCACCCTGAGGATGACCGCGGTCTCCCACCCACTACCCTGCCGCACCTCTCTCCCCAAAGCCTCTGTTTCCTTTGGCCTCCAGGCCTACCCTACCCCATCTACCACTTTGGCTCCAGCCTGAGCCCCACCCTCCTGGGGGAACAGATGGAAGCTGGAGGATGCTCTCAGCGCGGGCTCCGCCAGGTGTCCGGAGATGGAGAGGGGGAAGAGGCCCGTCCGAGCTCGGCTGTGTGCAGCGGAGCCTAGGCTGGGGTAAGGACTCCGCCCCAGGGCGCAGGTGCGCAGTCCAGGCTAGGCCGCCCGCCAGGGTGCGGAGTGGGCCTGGGGGCGGCCCCCCACGTTGGGGCGGTGGTCCCTGGAGACGCTCCGAGGTGGGAGGGTCCCGCTTCCCACCCACACGGAAGGACGTCCGGGAGAAGCTGCGGAGCAGAGTCCGCAGGCGCGCGGCGTTCTAGGGGCAGTGAAAGTGCCGGGGTGCGGGGGTCCCCGGGACAGCCCGGCACGGCAGGTCGGTCTTGGGGCCCTACGCGGAGCGGCGCCCCCTGGCGCGGGGGAGGAGGACGGAAGCGGGGAGTGAGGGCGAACCCGCGGGAGTGCCGGTGGTCCCCCGCGCGGCGCGCCACGTCGGGACCCCGTGGAGCTGCGCCCCCTGGTGCGGGGGCGGAGAGGCGGGCGAGGGCCCTGGCTCTTAC